GCTCAAACGAAAGAGCGGGTCGAGAAATGGTGTGCTAGGACCTCTAAAGATGGTTTTGAACCAGGGGAGACTCCTAGACGTCAATGTTCTATACATACTCCTAGACCCCATTGTCCTCCTAGACAATGATGTCACAACTCTCCTTTTCAATTGAAAACAGATATCAGCTTTAGAGACATTTGTCATGTTTAGAGGCTCTAGCACGTCATTTCTCGATCCGCTCTTTCGTTTGAGCCCAAAAAAACCTTCATATCTTGTCTGACATCTTAGCTACAAACTCGGGTCTTCAACTCGGACTTTCAATTGAAGGCCCGAGTCATTCTATACCGACGTCATTTTTCATACTATCGTGTTAATTTTGGGCTCAAAATGTGAGGAATGTTACTAAGATTATCGGCATATACGTAGCTCCAAACCGACAAAGTGGGCCCTTTTCATGTAGATGCCCACATATAGAGAGAGCCTCATATGACCCTTATTCCGACCCTGATTATAATCCTCTTGACTGTTTGTTTCTGACCCTTAATTTCGAGTACTAAATTTTCATCACCAGACGCCCATTTGGATTTTTACAATAATAGAGAGATAATATAGAAATAACTAGCCGTTATCCCTCATAATAAGAATTTTGTCTTTAATAGTGGGAGTCGATTCCAAAGATTATAAAATTAGAGAGTGACATTTTGAGCTGTTACTCGTCAGTGCCTTACGAGTATCCAAAAAAATGTCAAGTATCCCTTTTGCCATACCCTCCCCTGCAAAAAAATCAACATCTCTACAATCAATCGACAGATCATTCATCTCGGAGATTCATAATTCCTCCAAACTCCGATCAAAATGTTCCACAAGCCGATGAAAACCTACCTGAGGAACCCTCCAAAGCCAATAAAAACCTACCTGAGAAAGCCTGCGAAACCGACGTCCACAATCCCATCAGTTCCGTTCTTCTCAGACTCAGAAAACGACGACAGTCTTGAAAACCAGAATGAACCCCTAGACGACACCTTCGACAGACTGAGAAAGACAGCGAAACCAGTGCAGCCAGTGATTCCATCCCAGGAGAACAACTCGCTCGTTTTTTACAGCTCCTCCAGTAGCTCTGATACCAGTGAACTAGAAGCCATTCCCATTCCTCAAGCCCAGCCCAGTGCTCCACCGAAACGTGGGAGGAAGAGGAAAACCAGCACAAATGCCACGAAAGTTGATGGGAATCCCCAAAATCCTCCGAGGAATAAAGTCTTGAGGAGAAACAGAAGAGGAAATGATGACGTTGGTGTCAGCAATGACAATCCCCAGATGGTGGAGAAAAAGAAGGAGAAGAAGCAGCGAGAGGCTAAAGAGAAAAAAGGAAAGAAGAAGAATTCACCAAAACCAGTGGACGAAGACGAGGGAGACGAAGCTGGGGATCAGGAAGGGGAGAAGAGGGAAAAGGAAGTCGAGTCTTCTAGAGAATCTGTGAAAAAGACTTCTCCAACTACTTCTGAATCAAAAAGAACAGATACATTGATTGAACCAGAAATTCCACAGGATAAATCATCGGAGATTGATGCGGAAGGTCTTCAAGTCGATCTAAATCCGTCAAGTCTTCAGGAAGAAAATTCTCCAGATGTCGGAATTTCAGATGAAAGTCTAGATGAGGGCAGTCTGGGGATGTTCGAGATGACAGAGCCAGTACCAACGAATAAAAAACGAAAGGTGGTTTCAAAGAGATCTAAACACTCTTTGGATTCACCAAAAACTCCGGTGACGAATGAAAATAGAGAAAAGTTACTTCTGCGGAGGGAGAATGAGAGCAGAAGATCCTCAGGAAGACCAGGACTGATAGTTCAAACGGAGGAAGAAAAGAGAGATGACGATGGTGGAGTCACCAGAAACAATCCACAGATTCTGGAGCAAAAGCAGAAGAAACGAGAATCTAAGCCGAAAAAAAGAGTAAAAAAGACTTCATCATCTTTAAAAATACGACAGAAGCCACTGGATGAAGACAAAGAGAACGAAGCTGGGGATCGGGGAGAGGAGAAGAAGCAAAAGGATGTCAAATCTTCCAGGGAAATTATAAGAAAGACTTCTTCATATACTTTTCAAACTAGAAGAACACATAAATTGATTGAACCAGCACTTTCACAAGATAAATCATCAGAGATCGATGTAGAATCTCTCCAAGTTGATCTACATCGTTCAAGTCTTCAGGAAGAAAATTCTCCAGTTGTTGAAATTTCAGAGAAAAGTCTAGACGGGAGCAGCTTCGAGATGTTCGAGATGACAGAACCGATGAAAATTAATAAAAAAGGAAAGGGGGTTCCAAAGAAATTCAAACTACCTCTGGATTCGCCAAGAGTTCTAGTGAGAAATCATAAATCAGTAGAATTGTCCCTACAGAAGGAAAAGGAGAGACGACAAACACATGAGAACACGTCTTTTCTGTCATCTCCAGGTGCTCCAACCAACGACTGCTGGGTGAGTCTCCACCGACTAAAGTTGAGCGATAAAATGAGGGAAAAATTCCGTCAGGATGAGAGCAATTCGTTGGACTCTCAGAGCGAACCAATCAGTGTATTAGTCAGTATATCACCAGCAGATGAACTGATGAATGGACTTTATCGAAAAAATTTCCAGGAAGAAGATCCAGAACGATCAAATTCTGAAAAACAGAACACATCTCTCGAGAAGTCACAGGTCAAATTTTTCAGAAGATCATCACGATCTGTGGATGAGTCACTTCAATCATTAAGTTTATTTTCCACTGATTAGAGTACAACAGCGAATGAATCTCAGGAGAATCCACTGGAGAGGAAGCCACCAGAGGAACAATCACAATTATCTCTGATGAAAAAAACCGAAATTATCGAAACAAGAGCGAGTGGAAGAGGTGGGTCTTCTGCTAATTCACCAAACACAGCTCTCGACAATTGTTCAGTAGTTCTCCAACGTTACGAGACCCTGGGAAAACCCAGAAACTCAAGTATAAATCAAAGCCTCTGGAGCAGTACCCCTTTGGTATCAAGAATCAGGCAGAAAGAAGCTAGATTGCACTTGTCCCCCATTCCCATCCCCTCTGCAGCCTCAAATCAACGAAATAATCAATCGACAGTGAATCAAAACAGTCGGCAAGAGAAAAACAACGGAAAAGAAAACGTCACGACTAAATTGCCCCAGAGAATCCCTTCAATCCCGATGATTGATGAAGACACAGAAGAAGACATCAACACATCAACTCCATCAGAAATAATCCTGACTAGAATCATCGACAATTCCCTCAAACAGAAGATCGAAAAGCAACTGTTTTGTTCGATGCAGAATACAGAAGAGAGTATTGAGGGAACCACGAGGATCGAACCGAATATTTCGGGAGAATCTCAAGGAAAACCTCAGGGTGGAAGCAGATCTCCTCAAAAAACCAGGGGAAATTATTTGGTAGCTTCGAATTCTACTGTAGAAGTTTCTTCTCGACTTTCTGTCAAGGAGGATGATGCGAAGTCTGAGGGGAAGACACTTGACACGTCGTCTTCAGGGACTATGTCTCCACTGATGTTTGAAGATAGTGACGAGGAGGTGAACAAGGAAGTGTCTGGAGATGGCTCTGGTCATGGGGTTTCAGCAGCTGGAGGAGATGACGAAGAAATTAAGAATCAGGGTTTGGAAGGAGACATGTCTTCTCGTTTGTCATCAGTTTCTCCAGCCAAGGGGGAAGAGACGGAGCTCCAGGAACTGGGAACTGATATTTCCTCTCATTTGTACTCCATTTCTTCAGTGAACGGTGAGGAAACGAAGGCCCAGGAGTTGGAAAATGATATTTCTTCTAGTTTGTCTTCAGTTCCTTCTGTCAGAGGTGAAGAAACCAAGGTCCACGAGTTGGAAACTGACATGTCTCCTCGTTCGTCTTCACTTCCTCCAATAAAAGTCCAAGATTATGATGAAGAACATGTGAAGACAACTGTAGATGAGTCCCCACATGTTTCTTCGGACGAAGATGAAAAGGATGAAAAGGAAGAGGTGACTGATGCGGCGCTGAAGGAAAAAAGACTGACGATGGGGAAAATACAGTTGCCTGACGTTCTTCTAACTCGATTGAGCGATCCAGTCAGGATCACAGACAGGCGTAACAGGTACCGAAACCGGGAGAATCGATTGAGTGCAATATCCGAGAATGATGATAAGAGGATGTCGGCTGTGTCTGAGGAGGCAGAGGGCCCCAGTATTGGAGATACTGGGGGGAGTGAGAAAGAAGCCCCTGAGAACGATGGGGAGACCAGTGGTGGAGCCGTCAAATTGGTCTTTCTGAAGCCTGGAAAGTCTTGGGCGAGGTCACTCTCTATTTTGAATAACATTCAGAAGGAGGATGATATTGAGGCACTCGCTGCTGGGAAGGGGAAGAACTGGAGAGAGAGTGTCATCAGCGTGCTCAATATGCAGAGTAAAGGTAACAGGATGTCTAGATTTTTCCAACAGGATGTTTAGATTAGCGAAGCGGCAAAAAGGTTCAAGTCGATTGTGACTATTGGTCAGTTCTCAATAATTATCGAGGAATCTAAGGCAGATAGCAAAATTTTTGTTATGACCTTTTTTGTAGAGCGAAGTGAAAGCTACAAAAAACGTTATTATGAAAATTTCGCTGTCTCCCTTACATTCGGAGATATTCTTCGTAAACTCAGCTGAGGTAAGTTGACTCTTAAACCGTTTTACTGCTTTGCTACTGATTTTTTTATTGGAAATTCAGGGGTGACGGTGGGAGGCAGAACAGAAGCCATCGATTTTTTAGATCTTGTTGTGGATTAGTTAAGCAGACTTCATTATTATTAATCGTTGTTATTATTACACGCAGGAAGAAAATTATAAAACCTTGTGATTTCTCTGGAAAATTGTATTGGATTTTCAAAGAACTTCTATTGAAAATTATATTAGTTTCTATCAGTGTTTTTAGAAAATGGTCAATGGGAACTGTGTGGGGATATTTTTCAAGGTATTTTATTTTACACATGCAAATATATTTATTTACACAAACACTCAAGCGATAATTCTACAAATTAAGAGATCCTTTCGTAATAAAAGAAATCGAAATGTGGATTTTGAAATTTCTCGATACTACAACTATTTTATAGAAAGAATCTGTAGGTTGCGAACTTTCCACACAACTTTTTTTTATTGAGCCATTTTTTGTAGAAATTCCTTTTCTTCGCTCTGTTTTATTTTCTTTTGTCTTCAGGGAAATCAAATTTTATTGATTTTCTATATAAAATATTTTCTAAAAAATATAATAATATTTTTTATTTATCTTATTTTTAATATTTAGATCTGAAAAGGGGTTTCTATAGAAATAAAAACATAAATCATAAATTTTCTAGGTTTCGTTCAGTCTATTTTTATTCTCTTTTCTTTTTAGAAAAATCAGATTTTGTTGATTTTTTAAATAAAATAAAATAAATAAAAATTTTTAAATAAATTTTAAATAAATAAAATAAAATAAATAAAATTTCTAGTAAAAAAAAAGCAATTATTTAATTATGTTGATATTGGGTGAGTTTAGGAAAAACATTCAGATCACATGTTGAAAGAAATTACTTCAGTTCAAACAATATTTGGAAATTGATACGAATTTTGCAGGAAAAATATTATTAAAAAATACAGTTTCAAAACATGTATGAAGTGGGATGAGTAAAAATGAAAAAAAATGAGTGTTCGCAAATAAACAAACACTCATTAGGTTAATCTCCAAAAATCCATTCGAAATGAATCAAAAACACTCTAAAGAACTATGAAAGGACCTTCATTCATCTGAACAATGGGTCGATACTCAACACAACCATTTACTGACAAAATTGGGGAAAAAAAAGTCCAATTTCTCTCTGAATTTTTGTTGTTCGTCCAGGCGTTTTTCAAAGCTGCATATCGAGTAATGAGAACGAGAACGTTCACCCGCGTGCCTCCTGCGCCTCCCGTGGATCTGCAGAGACTGCCGTCAGACAATGGTCATCAGCGAATCGACTCACCTCACAACCCTCGAGTCCAGGGCGATTTATTCGGAGGGTGTCGATCCGCGTCGTGCCCGATCTTAGGAGGAGTAAGCTCATTGATAAGGTTCAGGACTCGTCGTTCCACGAGGCTTATGGGATTACGACGAGCAAGGATCGACGAACACTTGTGCAAACATCGAGTAAGTTTTATTGAGTGGCTCGTCTTTTCTTCCTCGAGATTTTTTCCCCGAAATCTCATGCTAGCACTAATTCTTCCCTTTTACTTATCCTCTCATGTCCCTTCATTAATTTTATTTATAAAGAAAAAAAAGAGTATTGAATAGGGGAGATTGGGGAAAAATGAACACTTTTGACTTTTTTAAAATGTTAATGACGGGTTGAATTGTCACATCCACTCGATTCATAAAGCGCTAATGAACACAAATGAACAATTAATCCACTGAAATTTTCCCAACGAATAAAAAATTCAGAGTTGCAAAAAAAAATTAAATTGCAATGCCATGTTTTCTCTGAAACTTTTCAATCCCCACACTAATAATTCTCAAACAATTCCCCACAGTTGTACCAGTCAGAAAATCGAGTTACAATTTCCGAAATTCAACGAGTGATTTAAGAGTCCCTCAGCCACTGACAGTAGCCAGAAACGTTGTTCTGGACAGATGTAATCAGACAGACAGCTGTCCCTTCTCGCTCGTCTACACCGAGGACTACTTGAACAACTGTCGTAAAATTGGAGAAGGAGTTTATGGGGAGGTATTTCTGTTCGACAACGGTAGGGAGAAGTCTGTGATCAAGATAATCCCCATCGAGGGGAGTGAGCTCGTCAACGGGGAGCCGCAGAAGAAGTTCGACGAGATATTATCTGAAATTATCATTGCCAAGGAGCTGCACGAATTGAGAGTCAATGGAACGTACAGGACTGATGGCTTTGTGGAGGTGAAGAATATCAGGTGTCTCAGGGGCAAGTACCCTGACAAACTGGTGGAGCTGTGGCAGACTTACGACGAGGAGAAGAAGTCGGATAACGACTGCCCTAGTATGTTCAAGGATGAGCAGTTGTACATTGCGTTGGAACTTGGCGATGGGGGGAAGGATCTCGAGGCATTCGTGTTTCAGAATGCCAGTGAAGCGTTTTCGTCATTTATTCAGGTGAGGAATAGATGTCCTAAGTATCATTGTTGACAGCAGTGTTAAACTAGTGAACAGAATTTTCATTTTTGATGATTGCCCATTAAGTTGAACAGCGTCAACAGCATCTTGGGCGATAGAATTAAAAGGATTTCGCATAATGAGACAGACCAAATGGACGTTTTTCTATTGCCAAGGGATTAACTAATCTTTTTCAAAATTGTTGGTCATAGCATAGAGTGAAATTAGTTTCTCAACCATTAACAAGATGGATAGTTATCATTTATTCACGTAATCACTTCAGGAGATACTGCAGAAGAACGAGACAAATCACCTCCCAATTCCAGAATTTTAATTTCTTTATCAACTCCTCCAGACTGTTCCTTCTTCACCTCCTCGATTTAGTCCCTGAAGACGAAGTGTCAAGTGTGTTCCCCTCAGACTTCGCATCACTCTCCTTGACAAAAAGTCGAGAAGAAACTTCTACAGTAGAATTCGAAGCTACCAAATAGTTTCCCCCAGTTTTTCCAGGAGATCTGGTTCCACCCTGAGGTTTTCCTTGAGATTCTCCCGAAATATTCGGTTCGATCCTCGTGGTTCCCTCAATACTCTCTTCTGTATTCTGCATCGAACAAAACAGTTGCTTTTCGATCTTCTGTTTGAGGGAATTGTTGATGATTCTAGTCAGGATTATTTCTGATGGAGTTGATGTGTTGATGTCTTCTTTTGTGTCTTCATCAATCATCGGGATTGAAGGGATTCTCTGGGGCAATTTAGTCGTGACGTTTTCTTTTCCGTTGTTTTTCTCTTGCCGACTGTTTTGATTCACTGTCGATTGATTATTTCGTTGATTTGAGGCTGCAGAGGGGATGGGAATGGGGGACAAGTGCAATCTAGCTTCTTTCTGCCTGATTCTTGATACCAAAGGGGTACTGCTCCAGAGGCTTTGATTTATACTTGAGTTTCTGGGTTTTCCCAGGGTCTCGTAACGTTGGAGAACTACTGAACAATTGTCGAGAGCTGTGTTTGGTGAATTAGCAGAAGACCCACCTCTTCCACTCGCTCTTGTCTCGATAATTTCGGTTTTTTTCATCAGAGATAATTGTGATTGTTCCTCTGGTGGCTTCCTCTCCAGTGGATTCTCCTGAGATTCATTCGCTGTTGTACTCTAATCAGTGGAAAATAAACTTAATGATTGAAGTGACTCATCCACAGATCTTGATGATCTGAAAAATTTGACCTGTTACTTCTCGAGAGGCGTTTTATTTTTCAGAATTTGATGGTTCTGGATCTTCTTCCTGGAGATTTTTTCGATGAAGTCCATTCATCAGTTCTTCATAACTATTTATCTCGTTTCATCCATTGAAATTTCTTCTTTCAGACTGCCATGACTCTAGCAGTTGCCGAAAAATCACTAGACTTCGAGCACCGAGATCTCCACTGGGGCAACATCTTAATCTCCCGAACAACCGAAAAGGAAATAAATTACAAATTAGACAATGAGGAGATTGCGTTCTCTTGTCAAGGCGTCAAGGTCTCCATAATCGACTTCACTCTCTCCCGAATGTCGTACGAGGGCTGCTGCATCTTCAACGACCTGGCGCTCGATCCCTCCCTCTTCACAGCCGTCGGCGAGTACCAGTTCGAGATCTACAGGCTCATGAGGGAACAGGTGGAGAACGATTGGCAGGCCTTTGCACCCTTCACCAATGTCCTCTGGTTGCACTACACTCTCGGCAAGATGATAACAGCCGTTCGGTACAAGAGGAAGGGAACTAAAATTCATAAGAGTTATCTTCAGAGGCTTCAGCAGTTGAAGGATGTTATTATGGACTACAACAGTGCCTTTGACTTCGTTACGAATTGCGAAAGTGTGAGGGAGGTGTTGAAAATTAATTAACGTCTTAGATAGACTATGGAAGAATAGATAAATAAATTTAAAAGTTTTCCTTAAATACATGAGTTTTGGGTTTTTTCATCTATTTTAGAGGTTAATCCTGAGGGATTGACATTCAATTGATATTGTTATTAATATTTATTAATATTGTGGACGAGTGATGATGATATTAATATTTATTAATGTTCATCTCTGAATTTGCTCTAGAATTTTTTTACAGATATTAAATTAATTAAATTAATATTAAATTCTGGTCTCACTGTAATGAAGAATTCAGTAGTGAAAAGGAGCAGATGAAATTCTTCATGTTTATATTAATATATATTAGTGTTCACCTCTACTCTACAATTTTTTTTACAGATATTAGAATTCATTCCTGAAATTTCAAGATGTTTTCAAAACACTCTTCTCAGTCCTGTGAAGAAGTTGACAAAATGAAATTCATTGTGTCTGTTCATTGCTATTTTCAATTGTTCATTCACGTTCATTTTTCGCTCGTCCTGAACGTCACCTGAGATCTTTGGTTATTATGAATATCATGGAGACAAAACCGAGACTTTCACGAGAGGATGTACGAAGAGTTATACCGTTGAGAGAAATGTTTGAAGGTAGTAAAATTCCTCTTCATTGAGAAAACATTACCGTGTTTCTCATAAAGAACAGTTGAGCAGTTGATGCGCTGTCAACCCTTAAATAATTGAAGATGTTCATTAAATTCTGTGAAAAGGAACAGACGAAATTCTTCACGTCTTGTTGAATGAGAAATTATTTCAATAATAAATTTAAGAAAAATGATGAGACATTTCTAAAAATAATATCTCTTAACGTTGCCTATTAAAACGCCTGATTCCTGAAATAATTTCATGTTATAAGATACTAAGTTATGATTTGCTGGAAAAACAGAATAGAATTTTAAAATTGCATAAAATTTCTTGAAGTTTTCTCCTGAGATAACAAATTATTGGTTCAGCCTACTGCCATCTGGACCCAATCTCGGACGCACTGAGCGTCAACCACCTCCCATTCTCTGTCCTCAGCCTCTGGCTCGAGTCAGCAAAAATAATCGACATGAATCGAGTGACGAAAACCGATGCCTACTTGTGCTTCTTTAAATTCGAAAAACGTGCGATAAATTACGAAGAGTTCCAGATATACCTCGAGGACTTGGCACACGAGAGGGACCTCGACCTGAAGGACATGAAGCAGAGGCTGAAAACCTGTGGGAAGCCCGAAGTGAAGGATCATTTGCCCAAACGAGAAACGTAAACCCATGAGAATTGAATCAAAATTTAATGGTTCATTGAATCAGTCGTTTGGATTTTTTAAATAAATTTAATATACGATATCCTCAACTTTAACATTATTTACATACACTAGACTTCATGTATTGACTCCAGAACAATCCTTTCTTTAGCGAAAGCATGCAGAATGAAATGTGCACGAGTGTTATGTGCACCAAACATCAATCTTTTTTTACAACTAATCTCTCTCGATTGAACCAATACTGCAAACGATAAAAACTAAAATAATAATCGGTAATTGATTCTTTGATAAATGTAGAATGAAGAAGAGACGTTGATTATTAGTAAGTAAATTTAATAAAATTCTCCTGTAAGTATCTTTGGAACACAAAAAAATCAGTATCCATTCAATGTTCTTCCCTCAAGTCCTCTATCATTTGGTTTTACCAGCTTTGATGTGGGATACATTGAGGATTTTTTTGTGTTCCTAAGAGTATCAAAAATATAACTGGAAATAATTTCTTCAGCAATAGGTACGATTCCCAAAGGTCTCATAAAAGTTCAATAAAGAATTTCATGGCAATGATGCCCCGAATTTTTTGATTCTTCCTTCTCATAATTAAGTCTCAAATGATTTCTTCATCGCATCACGTTCAGAAAATTCTCCCATCACTGACTATAAATTTACTAAATTATCTTTTTGACTGAGTCTACACTTCCTATACAACCGCGTGTGACGCATTTTTGTGGATCCACCTGAAGCCATCACGAACGTTCAGAAGACTCACTCTGGTGAGGAAGCTGGCGATGAGCTGATACTCCGGCATCGTACGTCTTCCGCAGGAACGAGTGGACAGCGTTCTCTGGTAATTCCGCAAATTCGGCTTTTTTATTTCGCTCGTGGGGGATTCTGCTGGTGAGGGGAGGTTTATGTCACGACCTTCGCAGAGAACTTTGGTTGTTAGGCAGAGCAACCATTGAATTATCTGTTGAGAATTGAGAAGAAATTCATCAATATCGGCTTCTAAGTTGTGTAAACATAAAATGAATAAACATGAATCTTTGTTGAACTACATTGTTTTATCATTTATATTTATCATACGATTTCTGTTTCTATTTCTAACTCCCATGACCCTTATTTCAACCGTTACTCTGACCCTTATTTAGACCCTTAATTTTGTCAACCTTGTGGCCTTTAATCTGACCCTCGTGCCCTTGTGACCCTTAATTTTGGAATCTTAATTTCAAGTTCCAAATTTTTATCACCAGAAGTCGATTTGGATTTTTATAAAATAGATTAATATTTTTAGAATCCTAATTTTACTTCAGAGACTTTCCTACTTGAATGTCTGAAAAATGTCTTAAATGTTCTGAAAATGGAATTATTCTCACCTCACTGCTCGATGGCGATTTACTGTACCTGCGAAGCCATGAGCTAGGGGCCCACAAGTACAATTGCATAATGGTTGCTGCCATTTCGACGCTGAGGCGCTAAAAAATAGTCATCACTATAAACAACACAATTCATCAAGTGATAAATAGCAAAATTTTGTCAATCAACCACTTTTTTGGAAGGTAATCGGACGATAACGGCCACATACCCTTGCTCCCATTAATTCTCATAATTTTCTCAAACTCCAAACTCTACCTACCAGCCAATCGGAATTTACCGGACAAAGACAGAAACATCATTAACGCCGATTAATTTTTTATCACCCAGTCGGAAGTAATCGAACTGTTTTACCAGGGCACAGACGTATCCACGTAAAAAAAAATCCCCCTACCTTATGAACACTTCTGCTCAGCATGCCCTTAACCAGCTCCCGAACGACACTGGGCACGTCTCCCCCCATCTCGGGCAGCTGTTCATCCCCATAATGAAAATTATTGAGCATAGGCTTCTCCCCCTGTCCCCCATAGAAGGGATTCCTCCCCCCGAACAATTCATAGGCAATGGTCCCCACAGTCCAGAGATCAGCCTTGGTGTAGTTGATGCTGGTGAATGGTCCAGGCTCAGCAGTGATGACCTCAGGTGCCATCAGAGCAGAGTTTCCACCCCTGTCGACATCGTGCGAGCTGTAGGGGAGGTACAATCCGTGGTGTTTGTCAGCGAGACAGCAGCCGAAGTCAGTGACAACGAGGGACGGACAATTGGCTTCTTCGGAGGTGTCCAGCAGTATGTTGTCTGTCTTCAGGTCCCTGTGGGCTATCCCATGGGCGTTCATGTGGGCAACTCCCTCGAGAAGTTGCGCCAGTAGGAGAATCGATTCCCTGATGTTAATCCCCTCTCGTTCCTTCTTGCTCTTCAGGTATTGCTTCAACGTCACGTCGTAACGTTTCATTAACAGGAACAGGCTCATGTTTCTGCCGGAGCCCTCGGGGTTCAGGCGGGCTGGAAGGGCGTCAGGGTACATCCTGCTGGAGCCTGGCAGCAGGGGCACTCGATCGGCGAAGACGTAGTACATGGCGACGATGTTCGGATGAGCTGGCAGTGTCCTCTTGTTCTCAGCCATTCTCTGCTCCCAAATAGCAACTTCGTCGTGGGCGTGGTACCTCCTGGCAGGCACTGTCTCTCGGTACATCGCTCGGAGGATCGTCAGGGCGTTGGACTCTGCGTCGTAGTTGAACATCATCTTCAGGGCGTAGGGGAAGGGGGTGGGGTCGGTGCTGGTTCTGTCGATTATGGGGTCGGGGGAGCAGTCTGGGGTGGGCTCTTTGAATTTTGCGGCGTAGACCACGGCTGAACAGCCTTTGGCGATCGGGGGACCGATCACGAAGTTCTTCAGGCTCGGGGAGTCCTCGGTGGTTGAGGTCGATTCGTAGTTTCGGTCGTTATGCGGCTTTGTCCACTGCAGCTTTGACACTGCCTCCTGGGGAATGCAGGCATTTTTAGGGGGATATTGAGGGGTTTCAGGGATTTGGGCACTCGGAGGAATTGTGGACAGGTGGACAGGACGGGAAGATGAATATTTTGATAATGTAGGGTTGAAAACATAGTTGAATATGAGTTTTTGCAACTTTCACAATTTTATGGATGGTTTTATACCCCTCCAATTGTTTTTTTTTTTCTACGAAATTTATTGGTACGCGGAGGTAATTTTTTTTCAGTTCTCCACAGATATTTTTGACGGAAATTCTTTGTTGTTTCAATTGAGCATCAACTCACTACACCGAAAAAGAGTTAAAACTGACAGAAATGGTGAGAATTCCGCATTGTACCCTCTTCCCCCATCTCGATTGCTGTTTTTTTTTTCTTAGTCAAAGTGACTGTTTGGGTGATTTTTTCTACGTTTTGTTTTCGAAGTTTTTGTCATTTTTTTTTCATTTTTTCATTTCAAAATTGCATCTTGTATTTGCTGGAAACATTGACTTGTGAATGAAAACATGAAAAAACTGGGGAATTGGAAGGATTTCCTGAATCAGAACTGAGAAAAAATTATTTTTAGATAGAGCGTAGTGAGAATGCACTGTGATTTTTTAATGTGTGATAACGTGGAAAGAGTCACTTTGAGGAAAAAAAATGGCAGTCTGGGTGGAGGAGAGGGATAGAAAGCCCATTTTTCCTATTTTGACAATTTAGAGGCATTTCCTATGAAGTGAGCTAATTCAAACCATGCTGACTACATATTGAAAACTAAAAAAAAATGTGACTTTTGCTGCAACAACAAAATTTCGACAAAAACAACAAAATGAGGACGATTCTGAAATTCAAAATATACAAGGAGCATTATTATCTCTTAAGCAGTTAATCTGAGGTAAAATGTCAAATAACTTTGTTATTAGGAACTTCATGAAACTTGATATTAATTTTTGATAAAATTAGTTGTTTGGCATACAAATTATGTTCCTGCCCCATAAATTCCACGAAAATAAAAATCCTCGCCTTGAAAAATATGAGACACTGAACAATATAGTATTGGATTGATTGGATTGATTGAATTTTCAAAAAAAAACACTGTACTGAAGACTAAATTGTGCAGTGCCTGAAATTTTTTGATTTCCAAAAACTAATGACTATGGACATGAGGACGATTCTGAAGTTCAACACATACGAAAGGGTATCTTATCTCTTAAGGAGTTAATCTGAAATAAAATGTCAAATAACATTGTTATGATATAATCATGAATCTTGACATTAAATTTCCCCTAAAATTGATTGTTCGTGAACTAACCAACGTCCCCTTCCCCCAAATTCCATAAAAATAAAAATCCTCACCCTGATTTCCCAGCAAACCCCCTCGAGTTCATCCTCCTTAGTCAAAATACCGGTGCCAGAGGCCAGTGACACCCCGACAAGTGCGAAAAACGGTGCTGAATCTCCATAAAGTAGCCTGCGAGCTGCTCGTCTCCTCAAGTCCGCTGCAAGACTGTTGGTGACTCTCTTGAGGATATTGTCAACAAACAGCCGGCGTGCCTGAGCTCCAAGGTACCCAAGATTTGTGCTCGACGCTGCAACTGCGCTGCTGCCACCCTGAGGCAGCGGGCCCAGGGATTTTCCTATTAAAAATCCGCCAAAATCGTCATAAAAACCATGAAATCACTCGTTTCAACTTCAATCGACATTGCTCAGGGCTCAAAAACAACAATTCCCCCAGTCTTGAAGCTCAAATTTGCGGACGTACTCACCTACTTGCACAACGTGTATCTTGTCGAGTTGACCTCTTGTATAGGATGAATAGTGCTCGTTATTACGAAGCGATCGAAGAATAATTTTACCATTTTGGACAATACGCTGTGCTAGTGTCCTAATCGACATCTCTGTGGAATCTTGGGCCGCGAGTGCCCAACGGGCAAGCCCAACTTCCCAAAACAGTCCCTTAATCGCGATTTTTTACGTATTTTCCCCCCTTGAAAGTCAAGAATACGCTCGCATAGTGCCAAAGCCACAACTGCGCATCTCACGTAGCCCACGTCTATTCACTGCAGCTGGTTTTTCACCCCCTCGGACCCCTCGCGAATTCGCTACGTCAAGCGTCAAATAAAACAGGAGGTTATTTTACTGGCTGCTTTTACGTTTTGGAAAAAATGACGGCCATTTTCGGAGCGGCCTCTGGGGGGAAGAAACGGAGGTGTTTGTCCCGCGTTTCTTTTCATTGTTCAAAAAGGGAACTTGCGTGATGTTTTTTTTTTCATTATTTAATCTCGAGTTTCGGTCTTCAATGGTTATTCAAAAATAAAAAAAAGTCTTAATCACCAAATTTCGACTCATCTCTGCTCAATCAGCTGAGAACAGTCGTGGGCTATTGGAGTGAGACTCTCATTGTTCAATGTGAGACGCTCTTTCATTTGAGCCCAAAAAAACATTCATATCTTGTCTGACATCGCTGTTACAAACTCTGGTTTTCAACTGAACTGCCCCGTTTTTTTTTTAAACATGTTTATTTAGCCAAATGTTTTACAAAATAATAATACTGTAGTTTTTCTTATAGTCTACGGAAAAAACATGAGAAAACGTAGCTTAGATGATTAAGAAATAGTTGGAGAATACATACACTGAGAAAAAAAATTGTTTTTGCCAAATATCCATTTACTTTAGAGAAGTATTTATTTTGTATTTATTTTGTCAATTTCATATTTCTCCTGCCGAGTCATTCCCGGTCAATTCTCATTAGGCTTCAATTGTGACAATTATATTGCTCTAGAAGATGATCATGTTAGCTGTGATCTTGAAGCTCTCTCAATAATTATTAATATTGAAAAATTAATCAAAATTCTTTCCCCTAGAAAATAAGAAATTTAGGAAAAATGAATAATTATTGAAGGAGTCCGTCGAAGGTCATGTACAGCATAGTCTTTCTCTAGAGCAACATGATTGTCATAATTGAAACCTAATCAGGCTTGTCTGGGAATGACTCGGACAGAGAAATTCAACTTTAAAAAAGTAAATACTTCTCTCAAGTAAATAGATATTTGGCAAAAATATATTTTTTATCACGCTGTGACAAAAAGTGAACTTTTCGGCACGCTCCGCGTGCCTACAAGTCCAATTTCCGCCACATTGTGATGAAAAATATTGTTCGTAACTCGTGAAAAAATGTTTTTTACCTCGTGGGATTATAGGCTCGCCTTCGGCTCGTAATATAAACCTCCCACTCGCCAAAATAGTATATTTCGTAACGAGGATGCAAATCGCTGAGTAACGTCGCGCGTAGTCTAAAGTCCACGTCGTTTGCCTTTGAACTGTATCAAAATAATTCTTTCATTCCGGATTTGAATTTCTCACGTGCTGTTCCTTTGCAATTACCGGACAAACTGAATCGATCCAAATTATTTGGAACTTCGTCGAGAGGGGAAAGTCGATCCATTCGGGAGCGGACAATTGCGCAAAAACTTTGTTATATACGTACACACATGACTTTTCGTACCATACTAGGTCGATATATAAAACAAAAAATCTAAAACTTGAATTTGAGCGATTAGAAAAAGAGTTGAAAGTGTCGATTTTGCCCCACCCTCCCCCACTATTCAGTAGCGAAGTGGTCAAACGGTTTAAGTCAATTTAGTCTTTGAGTTTTCCAAGGATATTTCCGAATTTAAGGGAGATGGCGAAATTTTTATAATAACCTTTTTTACAGAGCGAATTAAGTGCTACTAAAAAGGTTCAGAGAAAAATTTTGCTATCCCCCTTAGATTTCAAGATATTCAGTGATCAAACGGTTTAAGTCAATTTAGCCTTGAGTTTTCCAAGGATATTCCCGAATTTAAGAGAGATGGCGAAATTTTCATAATAACCTTTTTTACAGAGCGAATTGAGTGCTACTAAAAAGGTTGAGAGAAAAATTTTGCTATCCCCCTTAGATTTCAAGATATTCAGTGATCAAACGGTTTAAGTCAATTTAGCCTTGAGTTTTCCAAGGATATTCCCGAATTTAAGAGAGATGGCGAAATTTTCATAATAACCTTTTTTACAGAGCGAATTGAGTGCTACTAAAAAGGTTGAGAGAAAAATTTTGCTATCCCCCTTAGATTTAGAGATATTCATTGAAAACTGGCCAATAGTCAAAATCGACCGTTTGACCAATTCGCAACTGTATTAATTGTCATGGAATAATGGAACTGAAAATTACAATTTCTATTGATTTCCCCCTGAAATTTTGAGTTTTCAATCACAGAATTTACTGAAATTTCAGTGGATTTACAACGCGATGAAAATTTCTACCAAATGCACCGGAAATTTCAGCCGAAAATTATGAACATTGAACAAAATCAGGGCGAAATGGTCGGTGAACTCGGTCGAACATGGCTTGAACAGAAACTCCGATTTTCAACAACGAATTTTGAGCAAAAAACAACAAAAAATCCCTTATTTTTTCAATCTCCAACGATTCGAGAACTAAATGAACTCATCAGGGCGTTATTTTATTGCACAATTCTAAAAACAAACCGAACTATTGTTCATATTTATCCAGCAATCAATACAAAAAAAATTTTTAAATCAAAATCACCTCATGCCATAAGTTGTTGAAGCATTATGTTGAATCAGAGTCGTATGGAACACGAACCCCAAATCAATAATCATCAAAAATATTATGCTAATATTGCTGATATTGACCGCACAATGGCTCAGGGGGGAGGGGATATGTTAAGAATGACTTCGGCGGTTGGAAGTCATCTAATTTGAATTTTTAAAATGTTTCCAACGAAAAAACCTTCAATGCAATGACCAACGAGCGCATTGCAATAATCGCAAATGCAATGCAATAAATGTACATAATTTCACCGCCAGCTAATCTCTCTCCCCACCACGCGCGTCGTCAAAATCGTATGAATTTTCCAATGGAATCCTAGACTCCGAGCTGCCGCCAAGGTCAACCAATCGTGACTGCATAATCCCCGAGATTACGAGAGCAATCTCACTGTCCTCCAATCTTGATGTCTCCCACCCAAGATTCCCATTATCTTTTCAATTTTTATTTTTGGTTAACCATATTTTTATTCAACAGCACATAATTTATTTACGGCGCTTACATGTGAAGAAATGGGTACAGAAAATCAATTTAAAAAAATCTGTTTTTGAGGTATGAATATTTGTAAAAAAGTCAAAAGTGTCCATTTTACCCCATCCTCCCCTATTTTTCAAATGATGGTTGGCTCTCACGCACGAAAAAATTTAATAGAAAAACCTATCGAATTCGTTAGAAAATTCTATTGAATTTCTATTAAACTTTCTATTAGTTTTTAGCTGATTCTATTGACATGTTCAATAGAAAACATTCAACAGAGAAAGTCAACGGAATTCGATTTTTCTATATAACTTATTCTTATATATTTTCTATAGAATTCGCTCGACTCTAATTTTCTAATTTTTTTTCATTCTATTTTTCTTTTCTTCTCATCAAGAAAATCAAATGAAAAAACTTGGAAAATTTGAGCCGAGGAAATTCTACAGAAAATATCTCAATAGAATAAGTTGTATAGAAAAATTGAATTCTATTGACTTTTTCTACTGAATATTTTCTATTGAGCATTTGAATAGAATCGGCTAAAAACTAATAGAACCGTTCAATAGAAATTCAATAGAATTTTCTAACGAATTCGATAGGTTTAGGAAAACCTATCGAAAACCTATCGAATTCGGTAGAAAATTCTATTGAATTTCTCTTAAACTTTCTATTAGTTTTTGGCTGATTCTATTGACATGTTCTATAGAAAAAGTCAACAGAATTCGATTTTTCTATATAACTTAT